GCAAATAAAAATAAAAATTAATATTTTTAAATAAAAATAAAAATTAATATTTTTATTAAAAAATTAATAAAATTAGAATTTTTAAATAAAAAAATATAAAATTGATATTTTAATTTGTATCTTTACTCTTTCATTTCAGTCAATTGACGTGATACTTGTAAAAATGAGGACCAGCCAAACAAGCACCTCAATCAAGATTAGTAATCGCATCAAACGGCCCAGGTCTACCGATTGGACACCAATAATTAGTCCCTGATGCTCCAGAATCCGCCTTTTTCCCCACAATCAATGGGATGCTGCAAGCAATTTACAGTTCCGTCATCATCACGAAGAAAACTTCTTAGAAAATCCGACCGAAGTTTCCTCTCTCAGACATGTGTCAAGGTCGCCAGCGATCCATATCTCCCGACCACCGTCTATCAACTAACCGCCGCCCGTCGAACGACAATGCAGCGGTGGTGGAGTATCTCCGTGGCCAGCTCGCCGAGACCGAGGCGCGGCTCCAACGAATCAGAGCTCGAGAAGCCGAGCTCAGCCGCAGACTCCAGGAGATGAAGCGCTTCCTCTCCGTCATGGAGATCCTTGATTCTTACATCAAGCGCCGGTTCCACGAGCAGCGAGAAACCGTGCTGCGCGTCCTCTCTTCCGTCCCTACGAGATCAGAGCTGCCGAATCGGTGAATTCAATGCCTATATGATTTTCCTCTTCTTTTTTATTTTTTTGGTGAATCTGGGCCGCTCTGATGTGCGTTATGTTCTTTGTTATGTTTAATAGATATGGCCCAGTTACTATCAAATGTTAGTTGCATGGAAATATAGAATTTGCAATTTTCTTCTTTTATACCTTTTGTGCATCTGATGTTTATAGTTAGGGTTTCGACTGTAAGATCAGTGAACAGTTGAAATTTCTGGAGAAATGGCAAATTCACTAACTTTTGTTGAAAAATTGCTATTCTAACTTTGATTGCTCATGGGTGATTTGAGGAGGCTGTTCTACTTCTTACTCGTAATTTCTCTTGGGGGGTTTCAATTGCTACATTTGGCAGCATTTGAAGTTAATTAGGTACTTGCTGCTGATGCATTGAGGCCTTTTAAGTTCAGGTTCTCTAGCAGAAATGTGGCAAACTATTTATGCTGTGTGGAGTGGATTGTGTTAGTGGGCTTATATTCTCTTATTTAATGCTGTTTGTTATCTTCATGTTCATTCTGAGTAGTAATTCAGAGAGGTAGTTGTCTCTTTGACATGGAGACATGAAGAAGGCTGGCATGCATTATGGTTCTGGGGGGGGGACAGTGTTGTAGATGATAGTTTTCCCTTTTTCTTCTACATAAGATGCTGGTAGTGTTCAAGTTTTGTCCTCAGTGTGTTGGTAGCTTGCAGAGGGGATACTTCTTTGAAAAGAATTGAATCAGGTTATGGTTTACTTCTACCACAAACAAGGCAAAGGAGTAATACTTGTTCTATTTTAAATGATATGGTTGCAAATGAGAGTGAGAGCAGACTTGCGTAGTGGGAAGAAAGGGAGGAAAAGGGGTACATAGGAGTTATTTCTTGCAAAAGTAATGGTTCAAAGGTAACAGACTCTATCTTACTGATCCTAAATTTAGAAAATGTATTCCTTGACTGATGTGAGGATGGACATTTCTATGTTAGCAATGTCCATCTCTTTTTTTGGGTACATTAGTATCCATCTTTTATGGTACCTCTGATCGAAACTATGTCAAGGAAGAAGCTTCTTTTATTTTTATTATTTATTTATTTATGCATTTATATTTTATCTTGATTTCATAATGAGAGACAATCATATTTCATCTTTTATTTCACTATATTCGCATACTATGCGATCTAAATTCAGAACTTCTTATTTCCAAAGAAATGAGATGATCACTGAACTGTATAGTTCCTTGACAAAAAAGTGTTTTTTTATGGTTGTTAAGTAAAATTAGATATCAACTGTCATATTAATTATTAATTAAAAATTACTATTATTAATTGTTTCTAACTGTTAAATTAAAAACAAAAAATTAATTTGTAAGTTGCGTGGTCATTGTTTTTTGTGAGATGGGTTTGAATCACCCTTCGGATTCATTCTAGTACTTGCAGCTTGCTTAAAATCTTTAATGTGGAAGTTATGGTATAAAATAATACATGTAATAATTTTTAACTACTTAATGATGTTTAAGTTGTTCATCGAAAAAAAGTGATGTTTAAGTTTATAGCTCAATTTGGAATGTGCATGGTCTTTATTGCCACATCACAGACCTAGTACACACAATTTTAGTTATTTATGAATGGTTGAGATAGGGTTACACATTTTCTCCATTAATTTGTATAAAAAAATATAAAATTTTATTTTATTTTTAATATCAATTACACATGCATAATTTTAATTGGATGATAATAAAAATTAAAGTTAATTTTTATTTTTTATAAAAATTAATGAGAAAAATGTGCAATTAATGTATTCTTAGTGGAGGATATAGGTTAATCAAACTATATATATTTGGTTTAGTGGTCAAAGGAATCTTGAACTAATTTGCATAAATCTGGAAACTAATTCCTTTCGATCTCATCACTAGTGGCCTAACAATTTTAAAGTCAAGGCCAAAGTTCTTAAAAACTCAAAATCAAATTGTTTTTTTCCTTTAATAATTTTTACTGCTAAGATCAAGCCATTAAGGATGGTTTGTCTAAATTGATACATCACTGACAATCCTATTTCTTTCTAAAATAAGATTGAAATATTCATTTTCATTTTCTCTGAAGGTGGTTATGAAAAGACAACATTTTTGTATGGACATTGAATTTTGTTTATGGTTTGTTACTTCCAAAAAGAAAAGACATTTCCTTCATCTTCATCCTTTATATTCACGGCATGAACAAGATATCTGGGTGCAGTTGAGTAATAACTAATCTTATAATCATTAGGCAAATTCTCTCCTCAAAACACTTTCTTCACTCCTTTTGAGTTCTCTTTTTGGGTTTAAAGTTTTTTAAGCATAGGAAAATTAGGGGAAAGGAGGTACTACATTACATGTCTACAATTTACCAACAGCAGGACATATGTGCCGTTTTTATTTTAAACTGTTATAATTTGAGATAAAGGGAGGGGATATTAGCATTACATTATTGTGGTTTGAACTTTGATATTAATTAAAATATTAAATGTACCAATCAATAATTGACCTACAACATTTAGTGCAATATGTCGTTTGAACCATGGTCTCTTTATTGGGCAAAAAAAAATAAAAACCATGGTCTTAGTCACTGTCTTATTGGTGCAACCTTACTGTGGCTGTGAGTGCCACCTTTTCGGTTTATGTGTGTACATATTTTTTTATAAAAATTAATTATAAAAAATATATTTATTACGTTTTCAGAATGTGCAGCAATAACATGTTTTAGAAAAACATTTTATTTTTCTCTTCGCTCAACTTCTTTTTTCTCTTTTTAAACAATATTACATGTTGGGAATTTTTGAAAAAGAAAATTTTAATCCAAATTTAGTAGAAAACCTTATATCCGGAGCAACTACTTGCTCTCCCCATATTTCTCCTCTCTTCACTCATCTTAATCGCTGCAACAAACGGGCATTGAATTACCCAAGAAAAAAAAACAGACGGGCGTTGATTGTTTGATTTAGCCTGTGTACCTATAACTTGACATGCCAACCTCCAACCCATCTGATTTTCCATCCAAA